GGCCAGTACATATGACACACACTGACCACCAGGGGGAAGACGCTCAATGCAGGAGCTGCCAAACTCTGGTGACTTGGCAGCAGCAGTTCTTGGGTGATGCACCCCGGAACCAGAGAGGAGGGAGCCAATTCCTCACAGGGCTGCGCAATTCCGCCTCCGGCCATGGGATACATTGTTGCTGGGGCATTGTTGGCTCCAAATCTGGTTTAGTGCCAAGCTGCGGTGACTTGGCAGCAGCGGCTCTTGAGTGACGCACCCCGGAACCAGAGAAAAGGGAGTCTGATTCCTCACGGGTCCATGTTATTCCATCTTCGGCCGTGGGTTATCTTGTGGTTGGGGCACTGTTTGCTAATATTTCTTCTAATTAATTTCCTTTCAATGTACACGAATCTGTGCACCAGACCAATAGTAGAATAAAACTCCAGAAAAAGAGCTAACCAGATGGAGACAAGCAATCTATTAGATGCAGAGTTCAAAACATTAATTATAAGGATGCTCAATGAACTCGAGCAAAGAGTAGCTGAACTTAGTGAGAGTGTCAACAGCTTAAAATAAGGACATAGAAACCATAAAAAAGAAAGTCAGAAATGAATGATACATTAACTGAAACGAAGAATTTACAGGGAATCAACAGTAAATGAAGCTGAGAATCAAATCAGTGATTTGGATAATAAGAAAGTAAAAAAATACCCAGGCACAATAGCAAAAGAAAAATGTATTAAACAAATGTAGGATATTGTAAGGAGCCTCTAGGTTGACTTCAAGTGTACCAACATTTGAATCATGGGGGTGCCAGAAGAAAAAGAGAGAGAGATAACGCAAGAAACTGAAAACCTATTTGAAAAATAATGACAGAAAACTTCCCTAACATGGTAAAGGAAAAGGCATACAAATCCAGGAAGTGCAGAGAGTCCCAATAAGATGAACCCAAAGTGACCCACATCAAGACACATCATAATTAAAATGCCAAAGATAAAGACAAAGAGAGAATATAAAAAGCAGCAAGAGAAAAGTAATTAGTTACCTACAAGGGAACACCCATAAGACTGTAAGCTGATTTCTCAATAGAAATTTTGTAGACCAGAAGGGATTGGCAAGAAATATTCAGTGACAAAAAGCCAGGCTCTACAACCAAGATTACTCTACCCAGCAAAGCTATCTTTTAGAACAGAAGGACAGATAAAACATCCCAGATAAGAAAAAAAGCTAAGGAGTTCATCACCACCAAACCAGTAATCCGTGAAATGTAAAAGGGTCTTCTTTAAGAAGAAAAAGAAAAGATAAAAATTGAATCTAAAAAAACAAAACAAACAGAACAGAAACAGACTCCCAGATAAAGAGAACATTCTGATGGTTGTGAATGGGGATGGGTGGAAAGGTGAAGGGGTTGGGAAGTACCAATCGGTAGTCAGAGAATATTCACAGGGATGGAAAGTACAGCACAGGAAATGCAGTCAACATTCTAATAGTATGTGTGGTGTCAGGTGGTACAAGATTTATCAGGATGATCACTTAGTAAGTTCTATAATGCCCAATTTTGATTCGTTGTACACCTGAAACTAATATAATATTGTATGTCAACTGTAATTGGAAAATAAAAAATGATTTTAAAAATTATCACAGCAAATACAGTGATGCATTTCACAGATCAGTTTCTTATAACCACCATCAATATAAAGTGATTCAACAATTCAAACACGCTATCAAAATAAACATAAATATTAGTAACTTCAATAATAACTCCATGAATGTGGTGCAAGGTTATAACTTTCTGAACATCTGGTTGGCTTAATTCAAGGAACAGTTGTCAGAATACAGAGAAATGGAATATGAAAATGAGGTTCATGGAAAAAATTAGGGATTTAGGGTTTATAAATTTCTAAACATTTTGAATACATTTGTTTAATTTTCTATGGAAAAAATCCACAGCTTTCATCAAATCTAAAAAAAAATCCCAAACCAAAACAAAAAACCTGAGATAGCAAAATAAAAAACTATTGAAAAGAAACAAATCAATGGTCTTTCCTTTATGTAATCCTCTATAAATACATACTATTTCTCTCAACCAGTTTTTTGCTCCATAAGGATATAGTGAGTTTGACACCATACCTCCTGAGCAGGGGTCCTCAAACTACGGGCCCGCGGGCCACATGCAAATACAAATATTGTATTTGTTTCCATTTTGTTTGTTTATTTTTTTGTTTGTTTTAAATATATTTTATTGATTTTTTACAGAGAGGAAGGGAGAGAGATAGAGAGTTAGAAACATCGATCAGCTGCCTCCTGCACATCTCCCATTGGGGATGTGCCCACAACCCAGGTACATGCCCTTGACCGGAATCGAACCTGGGACCTTTCAGTCCGCAGGCCGAAGCTCTATCCACTGAGCCAAACCGGTTTTGGCCCCGTTTTGTTTTTTTACTTCAAAATAAGATATGTGCAGTGTGCATAGGAATTTGTTCATAGTTTTTTTTTAAACTATAGTCCGGCCCTCCAATGGTCTGAGGGACAGTGAACTGGCCCCCTGTTTAAAAAGTTTGAGGACCGCTGCTTAAGAGTATAGTTATATTAGGTTATCTACTAAGTGCAGAGATGTGGGTTTAACAATTACTGGAAATGTGGCAGGGGGAGGATAGACTTGGCATTCTTTGTGAAACAAAAACAAAACAAACACATGATACTTAAGGTCACTTTACTCTCCCTCAGAAATGGCTGTGCCTAAGTTGGCCTTAGGTGATGTGGTGTTTTTAAGATTCTCCGAAAAAAAATTCTGGATCTAACTCTGAAATGAGGTGGGGAGATTAAAGCCCTAAGTGATATATTATGATGCTTTAAAAAAAGGTATTCCCAGTAGCACTTGAAGCATAATTCTGCTACATTTCTCACTCATAATATTTTCTAAAATGTTACTCTAGTGATTTCAGATTGCATTTCATTTAATGTTTGATTAAACATCATTTCCAACAGAAAAATTCTAAAGGTGTCTTAGAATACTGTTGACAACCTGTTATAATTTATCACTTACTCTGTCAACTGCCTTAACGACCAAGTAAACCTTCTGGAAACATACACTGGCACCCTGGACCTTGTGATTCTAAATTCCCTTCCCTGAGAACAAAGTAGCCTGCAGTTCTCAGTCATGTAAAATACTGTAATTGAAACCATCTATTGCCCCACTATGCAATCCCTACGAATTTTATAGTATTTCTTTCAGTCCTTTTGTAGTACATTTTCCCCACATATACTCAGTTTTGTATCTAGTATTTTCCTCACATTTAACCTTGACTCCTCTCCCACAATAAAATTCACCTAAGCCTTATCACTAGGAATGACTGTCTCATGTTACACTATGTAGAGGATATACCAAATTTTGCTAAACCATACCTTTGAACACTTTTTATGTTACAATCACTATGATCAAAGCTTTATGCATAGCTTTGTAGGAAAAAATATATTCACAAATGTGTGTACACTTACATGTATTCACACACCCATACAACATAATTGAATACATGCAAAAACTACGTTAATATTTAATATCATCTGAATGAAAAATGCAAATGGAGCAGGAATTTCTCATTCAATTAAAAATTTATACCCATTGTCAGAGATGAGATAGTACTGACATCCATAGGAGGAAATACCTCCTTTAAGAAGGCTACATTGTAAAGTAAACAATCTGAGAAAAGTAATCAAGTCATCATATCTTATCCTGTATCTTGGGAAATGATTCTCTGCATATGAACAGGGACTCAAACTACAAAACTATATTTGATTTTAAGCTTTAGGGGTTTAAAAAAATTAAAATATAATTCTATCCAAAGCAAGAGAAACAAAAAAAGGCGTTTTAAGGAAAGCCTCTGGTTTACTGCTGGTACCCTAAAATACACATATGCCTATATATCTGTATTAAGAACACATTCCTATTTCCATGCAGATAGTTTTCAAGAAGTCATACTACCAACTCCAAGAAATGTATCTGTAGTGTACAATTCTACTAAGAAAAAAACTGAAAATGTGTAGAATAGGTAACTTAGTATAAATCATCAATATTACTATCATTAGTAACAGCAGCAAAAGCTTACATTTATTGAGTGCATATTGTGTCTAGAAACAAAATTAATTTTTACAAAATCCTCTAGGAAAGTAGTATTATTATCTCAATCAACAGATGAGAAAACAGGATTAGAGATATTCAAGGTCAAACAGCTAAGATTCCATCTTAGAAATCTGTATCATACCACCTGTATTATAATGCCTCACTTCAACTTAGCTACCTTGTCTCAATTTAGATATCTTCATTCAACTTTCCTTGCTTGCCCAAGGTAGATGCTTTGCAATATTCTCTTGAAGGTACTCTCCAAATTGCCCAACTTCAATCAGGAACATTTTTATATATATCAATTATTAAACTGATAAATTCTGGTTACTGATAACTATCTGGTTAGTGAAATAAACTTTAAACAAAAAAGAGTCAGGTGTAGTATCTAAAGTACTAAGAAGTTCAAAAGGCTTATCCAAAACTACCCAAAAGCCAATTTGGCTTTCAAATAGTTTTGCTTAGTGATATTAATGTAATAATAAACCAAATCTCTGGCAGTTTTGAGGGTTTAATGTCCTTCAGGGTAGACAAAAAATATTTTGACATGAAGAGCTATCTATTGTATACTAATATATAAATGCCTAAGCGCCTGGAGCAACCCAAGCGACCAGAATGACTGGTCGCTATGACGCGCACTGACCACCAGACGCTCAACGCAGGAACTGCCCCCTGGTGATCAGTGTGCTCCCATAGTGGGAGCGCTGCTCAGCTGACCGACTGGCGCCAGATGCAGGGCTCATGCAGGCGCAGCGGGGCTGGGATGAGCTGGAGTGGCAGGCAAGAGCGACAGGCAACACTGCACTGCTGGTTTTGGCCCAATCTACACAGGCCATGCCAAGGGACCCCACCAGTGCATGAATCCATGCACCGGGCCTCTAGTAAAATACATGAAGTTTACCTCCAGACTTCACCATCGTGCCATACCAAGCAGTCATATACAGGGCCAGGATCACTATATTTTTTCTCAAAAGAATTTAGCAATTCCACTTGACTTTGAAGCTCCTCTTTGATTAGTTTATTTACCTAATCAATGGGAAAATACATTAATATTAGTATATTTTGTACTCTTGAAAAGTTGTATTAACATATCACCAAAGACATTGTGACCTAACAGTAGTTATTTTGCCCTGGAAAATTTTAAGAAATTTTTCTTTTTATATCTATGCAACTTGTCATTGAATTTAATGATGCAGGCATCAATTAATATATTAAACATTTAAAAAATAATACTTCCTTTACTCAATCTTTCATTCATTCACTCACTCCACCCCATTTGAGAAGGACACTATATTTTATGTTGGTGATATCATTTGGCCAAAACATGTTTTCGTTACATATCCTTTATCTACATTGCTCATTTTCAAAAGTAATTATAAAATTGCTATAAATAGGTTATCAACTTTTACATTTTTATATTGGGACTGTTTCCATTTAAAATCTGTTTCTTAAGAACCCAATAATAGGAACCATAAACTATCTTATCTCTTTTAGATTATACTACATTAAGTATATACTATATACATTATCATGTACATATAAGCTATTTAACCATTTTGATCTACAATAATGAGAATTTCATATGCTTCAAACTAAGTATGTTTTAACTACATACTACATTAGACTGCTGTACATTCACCTGAATGGTTCTAGTGAATAAAAATTTAATTTTTATAAATTCCAAAAATTTTAAGATATCTACACCCCTATGTTCATTGCAGCATTATTTACAACGGCCAAGATATGAAAGCAAATTAGGCATCCATCAATCAGTAACTGGATAAAAAAAGATGTGATAGATATATACAATGAACTATTAACTCAGCAATAAAAAAGAATGAAATCCTGCCATTTGTGATAGCATGAATGGGAAGGTATTATGCTCAGTGAACTAAGTCAGACAGAGAAAGACAAATACCAAAGGTTTCACTTATATATAGAATCTAAACACACACACACACACACACACACACACAAAGAATATTCAAAATAGTATTTTTCATAATAGCCAAAAACTGAAAACAAAGAAAATAACAATATGAAGAATGGATATATACATTTGTGCTGTATCCAACAAACATCAAGGGAAGTGAACAAACTATTTCAACACCCCAAATATGGATGAATCTCACAAATATACTGCATGCGATCAGCTACACATGAAAGAACGCACACTGCATGATTCCAGTTTACAAATTTCAAAATAGGCAAAATCATTCAATAGTTTTAGAAGTTAAGCCCTGGCTGGTTTGGCTCAGTGTCAGCCTGCGAACTGAGAGGTGCCGGATTCGATTCCAGTCAAGGGCACATGCCCGGGTTGTGGGCTTGATCCCCAGCTGGGGACTTGCAGGAGGCAGCTGATCCACCATGATTCTCTCTCATCACGGATGTTTCTCTCTCTCTCTCCCTCTTCCTTCCTCTCTGAAATTAATAAAAATATATTTTAAAAAAAAGTTAGGATGGTGGTTGCCTTTAAGAAGGAACAAGGAAGCAATAACTAGGAAGACGCATGAGATGCTGCTGCTAATATGCGATGTTCATTTTGTGATAATTCATGACTACACACTTAGATTTAAGCACTTTACATGTTCTTTATGCTCAATTAAGTTTTTAAAAATTAGTACATATGTGAACTGATTTCAGATAAACACTAAAGAAAAAATGAGTAAAACTAAACAACTTAAAACCTGTGGGAAAAAACAGTCTATTAATAATTCTCTAAGAACTCTATGGTACAGGGTCATATAGTAATGTTTAAATAAAAATGACGAGCACCAACTTGAGAAGGGCAATTGTTGGCAACATCAAATTCTTCTTGTTTTCTACAAGCTTCTGCCAGGGCCATTCTGTGAACAGGGTCCCAGATTTTTTCCTTCCGTTCTTTCTGTAAATACAGAAAAATTACCTCCCAATGAGGTTGACAGATATTCAGGTAAACCTAGGCATTCATTCATATGTGGACCTAGTTATCAGCTGTGATGCTACATGATTCCCATAAGGAGGATAAAAAAATCATTTATAATCAAGTTGATAAAGCAATGGATGGATTATTAAAAAATGATTTCATTCACTGCATCCAGGTTTTAAGAGAAGCTTATCAAGACACACCTAAATGTATTTTTATGCATTGTACGCCACAATTTAAATCCTTCAAAGAGTAAATAATACAATGTCAGATAACTGAATTCCCAGTCAATGAAAGTAAAAAAACAAACAAACCTGTATTTTGGGACCTTACAGAACTGAGAAATGTCTCAAGATAACTAGAAGCATAGGATCCAGGAGGAAGATTGCAGCTGAATTTGATAGACATGCAGGCTTCCTTAATTTCCCCCCTCTCTGGCATATTAATTTCTGATCCTCTTTGACTTGATATGTTTATTTTTTACTAAAATTGGTCTTACCTTAATTTCCATTGTCTTTAACCCATGGTGCCTCCCAAAGGAAAAGTCCTTTCCAGTAAAATAAGCAATTTGACTGAGCTAAGGAGTGCGGGGTTCAGCTTTAACTTTGTCACTCTATTTTTGTATGTTAATTTATACCTAATCAACACAGTTGATTAAACTTAATACAGTGCATAAAAACATTATGCTGCATATGTGTACTTCAGCCTGAAATTTTAAAATAAAATAGTACCAAATAAAATTTAGGTGCATTATTTTTGTAATAATGATTGGAATCTAACAAGTATTAATTATTATAAATGTAATATATCTTCTTATGGCCCATAGACCCCTGGAGAAGCAGATAATATTATGATTAGATAAAAGGACCCAGAGGTCTTACCCTTCAGACTCATTTTCAAGGTTTACATCTTATTCTACAGTTGAAGCCCTGAACCCTGTCTACATCAGCAACTAGTATCATAGCCATCTTCTACAGTGGCACTGTCAAATACAGGAGCCACTAGCCACATGGTGTTTTTTAAACTGAAATTCTAAAATATTACATCAATTAAAATTTCAATTCCTTAGTCATACTAGTCACATTTCAAGTTCACAATGGCTACCTGTGACTAGTGACTACCATAATGGACAGATATTGAACATTTTGAACATTTCCATCATCACTGAAAGGTTTACTGAATAGTGCTGCTTTAAAGCAGGCTCCTTATCCCTCTAGTCACAGCTCTACTTCTCTAATAACAGATTTGTGCTTCCTATACTGCAGCTGCTTTAGGTTTGAGTAACACTTTCCTTAATACTGAATGATTAACTAACTGGAATCAAGGCTAATCTATGGAAAAATAGGACAAATGGTCATAAAAGCTAAAAAGTATGGATTTTAAATCAACTGTCTTTAATCGTTTTGAGGTTAAAAAAAAAAGGTCTTTCAAAAATCCAATGAAAGCTATATGCCATTTCCCAGAAAACACAAATGCACAAACATTTAAGATAATTTCAGTGTATCCAGTTTCCCTAAGCTTATGCATGTGTTCAATATTAAGAACAGTGACTTTAATAGGTAAACTTCCATTGAACAGAATCTTTCTTTAAGTCATTGTTTGAAAGTCTCCCATCATCCAAAATAATTAAAAGTTAGTGAGAATTAATAACTTTTTTCTTCAGTAGGAATAAAATTTGAGAAAGAAGATAAGTCAGTGATACTAGATTGAACATCACCTGTATCCTTTCCTTGAGAGCCTTTGGATAGAAGTCGTAGCCATTTTTTATGCCAATATGATATCTGCCTGAGGGATTTGTCCAGCTTGCAGGAATCTATAGGGAAAAAAAAGTAAATTATTGATGCACTAAATGCTTCCCAATTCCAACAACTTACTTACTGGAGAAAAATGTATTTCACTTCTATCCTAATGGCTCATCTTGGATGATTAGGCTCACATACTAGAGCACTATTTTTAATATTCTAAAGTACCACTTAAATCTCTCTCTGGCTCCTTTTATCTCAGCCATAAATAAGATGGTTCAACTAGAATAGCCTTCATTTACACAATGCTTCATAGTTAATAAAGTGCTTTCAACATGTGCAACCTTATTAAACTACTAAGATCTTTAGTTCTTAAGTATCAATGACACCTCACCTCTCCCTTCATCATTCTATTGCCCACCAAATAGTTGGGAGGGGAAGCAATTTACAGAACCTCTTAATCTTCAATTTCTCATTAATAACAAGAGCTTCATTGGGCTCTAAGATATAACAGAGATAATGTCTGGAAACTAAGTAAGAGCTCTTTGCGTAAGAAAAAAGTTCTATCAGATCATTTTAATCCTATCTAATAAAAGAGAAACATAGTAATTGGTGTACGACCGCTACCCTTCCCATTGGCTAATCAGGGCAATATGCAAATTAACTGAGAGCCAAGATGGCGGCCGGCAGCCAGGCAGCTGGAAACTAACATGAGGCTTGCTCGCGTCAGTGACTGAGGACTCCAACGTTCCCCACCTGCCCTGCAGGCCTCTGAGCCTGCAGTTTAAGAAACTATGCAGCTTCAGCCAGCAGGATCGCAACATTGTATGCAAAGGCCAGAAACCTACTTTCAGCAGCGGAGGCCTAAGAGCTGGAGCCAAGCCTCAAA